ATCAGGGGTAACTCGGGTCAGGGCTAACTCGGGTTCGTTTTTCGAAAATCCGAACCCGACTTACCCCGGACCCGACTTACCCCGGATAATTCGGGCGTCCAGAGCCCCGAATCATCAGGGGTAACTCGGGTCAGGGCTAACTCGGGTTCGTTTTTCGGGAATCCGAACCCGAGTTACCCCGGGCCCGAGTTACCCCGGGATGACTCGGGCGCCCAACGTGTGCAGCTTTCCTTCTTCCCGCCAGCAGCAGCAGCAGCTCGGGCCTCTGGCGGTGGGCGCTCGGCGCCGCCCCGCCCAGCGGCGGGGGCGGCGGCCGCGGGGTGCCGGACTGCGGCGGCCGGGAGCCCTCGCGGGCGCCCCCGCGGCACTTCCCGGCGAGGCGGCACGAGCGGCCCGCTGGCGCGGCCCGGGCCGAGGACGCCCTGGCAGGAGGGGGGGGGGAGGAGGAGGAGGAGGAGGAGGAGGAGGAGGAGGAGGAGGAGGAGGAGGAGGAGGAGGAGGAGGAGGAGGAGGAGGAGGAGGAGGAGGAGGAGGAGGAGGAGGAGGAAGAAGAAGAAAATGAAGAAGAAGCAGACACTGGCGACGCGGCGCGCGTACTTCCCGACGCAAGCCGCCTCAACAACTGCAGCGCATCAAGAAGCAGTTCGACGCGGGGAGCAACAGATGCACATCTTCAACCGACGCATCACCTTCACCAACAATATTGGCGGCCCCACGTTCCAGAACTAATCGAAAGACCACGCGTGCACCAAGCACGCTATGACACCTACCTCAATAGTTTGAACGAACACACAAGTGGAGTACCATTTGGGGAGCCACCGCCCAATCACGCGATAAAGGCACACAAGGCCGCCCCCAAGTCCAAATCGACAAGTACCACGACTAGCCAACCGAGCTAGACATGACAACCGACCTAGAATGCTCATTGCAGGGCAGACTACCGCAACCTCCACAACAAGTACTCATAGTGGGTCGAATACCGCAGAAGGACCCCCACTGATAAGGCAGCACAGCCATGCCAGCAGCCAGACAGTCCACCATGACCACTAACTAGCAATGGGCTCCTCCTCTTTCTCCCCGCGGCTCTTCTGACATGCCAGCTGCACTTCCAAATCATAGGTTCGGGGTTCACTTGCAAAGCCCTGGGCCGCAGCCCCAGGATTTCCGGTTGTTGTTTTTTTTGTTGCCGCGCACCTATCCTTTTTCCTCCCTCCTTATCGCTTAGCTCAGGAGCTCAGGAGGGGAAGAAACACACAGACACAATTAGTCGCCGATTCCCCTGAACATATGGGAAACTATGGGCAGTGGGGGGAAGACAGAAACCCAGGAAATATGGGAAAACATGGGGAATATGTTTGATTGTGTGTATTTATTTGTGTGTCCCAGGGCCCCTTCATTAGCGTCTGGGTAGTCGAAGGCCAGACTGTCAGACTGGATTGGGCCCCAAGGGCCAATCTGGCCTGGCCAGATTGGAGGATTTGGGTTCTTCGCCAGACTGGATTCGCGTTGGCTCCCTCGCCAGATTGCTCCCGTGTGCCAGATTGGGCCTGCCAGATTGGCGCCAGATTGGCTTCGACTACCCAGGAGGAGGAGGAGGAGGGGGAGGAGGAGGAGGAGGAGGAGGAGGAGGAGGAGGAGGGGGAGGTGGAGGAGGAGGAGGTGGAGGAGGAGGAGGAGGAGGAGGAGGAGGTGCAGAACAGGGTAAGACGCTGCGTCCTACCCTGTCCTGCACCTTCCTCCCTCTGGAGGTGCGACGACCTCTGCAGGCTCGGGGCCGCCCCACACAGCCCCGGGCAGCGGCCCCGGAACCGCGCGGGCGGTGTCCTCTGAGAGCTGCAGGGCCTCCTCGAGCCAGGCAGGGGATGGGGGAGGCTGCCCCTCCCCGAAGCGAAGAGGCTTATTTGGAAGGGGAGAGCGAGACATCGCGGAAGGCTGGTGGGATGCGCCTCCTGCCCCTTCTCCTCCTCCTCCTCCTCCTCCTCCTCCTCCTCCTCGGGCCCACCTCGAGCACTGCACTTACCAGTTTGAAACATATCCCTATCCCGATGTCTGATGTCATCTTACCTCGGTGCCGATCTTGAGGGTTCCCCCAGTTCCTGAGGGCCTGTCCCTGAGACTGTCCTCGCTTTTTGCTCGCCCGTCTCAGGGATAGGGACACGTTCGAGGCTGCTTATACACGTGCAGCCTCGGACTCGGCGACGGCCACTTTCAGTGCACATCGGTGGCTGCGCGCTCCCAGGTCCAGTGGGCTAGCATCTTCCCGGCAGGACTATGCACGACCTGACCCTGCCATGCACCTCCCCCCCCTTTCCCGCGCGGCTCATCGACGCGATGGTGGTGCCCCATCTCATGCAGGTGTGGGGCTATCCTACAAAACCTGGGTAGCCGCCCCAGGGTTGTTTTTTGCCTTCGCTCACTTTGCGCGTTCTACCTCATTTCGCCCTGATCGTTCATAATTACTGTTGCTCTCTAGCCCCCCTCTCATGGCCTACGCGCTAATTAGAGGAAGCCTGCCACAGGTTTTCCCCCATATGCCACAGCGACAGCCACATGCTCTAAGTTGTCGCTGTGGCCTTTTTTGTTCGTGCTTTTTGTTTGCAATCGGTGGCTAGCATATACAAGCAAGTTGCACTCTCGCAGCGATTTTCAAGTTGTTCGCACACGGGCACTAGCCAAGTACCCTTCTCTCTGAGTGCTCGGCCAGCCTGGATTACAGGCCAGCTGAGCACATATAGTTGCGCAGCAAGCCTTAGTGTCTTGCAAGGCCTCAGCAGTGAACCAGCCTGCCTGCGCCAGCAGCAGTTCGGCAGCTGATTGCACGGCCGGCGACGCGGGCCGTCTTGATTCCTTGCAGGTCAGCCCGAGCAGACTAGCCGCTGCAACGCAGAATCACACAGTCGAGGGTCAAGTTTAAGCGCGCACAGCAGCGTGCAAAGAAGCAGCTCGCAATTTCTTTGTGCCTGGTCATCTGTTTGCAAGCTGCTTCTTGAGCAAGGCTCCGGACGCCGCGTGTTTTTATAGTTCCTTCAGCGCGCGCTCATCCGTGCCCGGTGGCGGCGGGGGGGATCTCTGTATTAGGTCCGGGGTCGTCCTGCAGAATCTTGGGTCGCGGCCCGAGGATTTCGCGCTCCTTTGCTGGAGGCTCGGGGGTCTACCTCTGAAGCCCTGGTGCAGCATTCGCGTTGCGCACTTGTGTCGACTAGACGTAAGAGTGACCTTTCGCCAGAGTGACCTTTGGTGCGGGCACAGATGGGTCCTCAGATGGTTGAAAGCGAAGCGGTAACCAGCGGCTTGCGCGCCCAGGTTTGGTCTCCCTGCGGCCCCAAAAAGGCCGCGCACCAAAGGTCACTCTTACCCAGGGTCACTCTTACGTGTAGCCGATTGTGTCCCCGCAGGGGCTGACCCCATGCTGTCTTCAGACGCGCAGTGCCATTTTTTTGGCACTCGGCCGGCCTCCGAGGGGGGCCAGCCGCGCACGCGGCCTCGGACCACGGCCAGACAGCAGCACTGTGGCGACAGACGCAACGTGCACGTGGAGGCCGCACGAGGGTATGATAGAGGCTGCACGAGCCCTGCCTTGGAGCATCAGCAGCACATCAGCAGCACCGGTTTGTTTTGTTTTTCAACGAAAGCGGCAGACCAGGCAGCGCGCACTCATTTGCTTTGTGCTACCCCAGGCTACGCGCGAGCAGTCTGCCCACGCACGAGCTCCAGCAAGACAGCCCGCGCGGAGTGTACAGTTCAGCGTCTTAGCCTCACCAAGCCGCAGGGCTCGTTATCCCATAGGCCAGCCTAAGGAGGCCAGTCTGCGACACCTATCACATGTTTACCTTGCTGGACTATATAGATTAGTGGTCAACCCTGGAGGAATCATGCGAACAGCACGAGGGTTCCAGTGCCGACGTGGTTCGGGGTGAGCCCCAAAAAAAGGTGCGGCTACCCCAGAATTGCCACAATGTAATGTCTTGCTTCTGCGCTGCATGACAGCTTACGTGACTGCCGAGATAGTGGATCACTAGGTAGCGGCAGGAGGGATCTCTGCACTTCGGTTTGGGGCGATCCTGCACAACCCTAGAACTGCCACAGTTTAGTGGTTTGCTTCTGCGCTGCATGGCAGCTTACGCGACTGCCGAAATAGGGGATCACTAGGCAGCGGCGGGAAGGACCTCTGCACTTCGGTTTGGGGTGCTCCTGCACAGCCCTGGGTCGCAGCCCGAAGGTTGCGCGCTTTTTTGGGGGGGGGAGGGTTGGGGGGAGCCTTTTGAAACCTGATCGCAGCATTGTACACTTAGTGCCCCGCACTTGGCATCGCTCGGACGTGTGCATTTTTTCCTTCTGCGAGGACCATCGAGGAGTATCCTTGATCATTTGGCGAAGAAACCACGCACGAAAACCCGATCGCAGCATTGTGCAGTCGGGGCGCTGAAGAAGGAACCCTGTTCGTTTGGGAAGGGCTCCGTGTTCCTTAGCTGTCTTGCAGTTAGCCTTCGGTTTTCCTTTGGTTTTCGATGGGCAGTTGAGCTTAGCTTAACTTGTGGAGAAAGGGGCCCTCGTTCCTTATTTAGGGTTCCTGAGGTCAACGCCCCGACGGTACACCCCTGCGCCGTCTCCAGGTGCGGCCGTGGAGAATTCGGGGTTTCCATGAGGACGGGGCAGCGGAGGAGTGCACTCACATACCCTGGCCTCGCTCGGACGTGTGCGTTTTTTCCTCGGCGAGGACCATCGAGGAGCATCCTTGACCATTTGGCGAAAAAACCACACACGAAACCGGAAAAAGCACAGGGAATGGACGTCCGAGCGATGGCGAGCGCAGGGGTTGACCCATGCGCTGTCTTCAGATGTGGCTGTGGAGAATTCGGGGTTTCCTGAGGACGGGGTCGCGGAGGAGTGCACTCACATACGGTTTGGGGTTAACCAACACCTTGGGCGGCAGCCTCAGAACTGCGCCGTCAAAGCGGCGCTTCTGCACTCCCCTTCTCGTTGTTGTACCTCTGCACCGTTCGCAACATGTACCTTATGAAACGTGGTACTCACGACGTGTTACTTTGTTTACTTGTTTGTGAGTTCCCCACTAAGGTACACACTGCATTACCTGGCGGGCGCCTACTAATCTACGTATGCTTGTTCACTGTCTCCCATTACTGCCTAAGCCGCGGCATCCGCCAGGTCCCCTTTGCGCCGAGCCGGTATCACTTAACTTTTTGCGGCACTTCAAGAACGCAACACGCGTAAGCGTAAGGTCTGGCCAGCTTTTGAAAAAAGGAGGGCGGCGGAGGAGGAGGAGAAGTGGTTGGCGGAGGAGGAAAAGGAGGAGGAGGAGGACGAGGAGGATGGGGAGGAAACGAGGAGGGAAGAGGAGGACGAGGAGGATGGGGAGGAAAAGGAGGAGGGAAGAGGAGGATGGGAAGAGGAGGAGGCGGAGGCGGAGGAGGAGGGCGGACGGAGGAGGAGGAGGAGGAGGAGGAGGAGGAGGGCGGACGGAGGAGGAGGAGGAGGAGGAGGAGGAGGAGGAGGAGGGCGGACGGAGGAGGAGGAGAAGGAGGAGGAGGAAAACCAATGGTTACCCAAGACTCATCAACGTTGTTGGAATATTTCCTTCCCCCAAGCACCCTCATATGCCCCTGCAACGGTTCACTTCCACTGAGGGAACTGCCTCGCTGGAATCCAACCGTTTGAAGACCCGAAAGCATGCCAAAACAATGTTCTCGGGATTCCAACGCCACGGATCAACCTGATCATTGCGCTTTGAAGATCTTGAACCGCGCCAGAACACCATGAGGGATATTTCAACACGGCGAACCAACGTAAGTGTTGCATCGCCATTATTCCGAATCCTTCCAAACACACCAGTTTTGACACGTTGGTCATGGAACCCCGTGAAACTCCTGTAAAACGAATGTGCGCGACGCTAAAATGAGAGCCACCGTATGAAATCGACCAGCTCCCAATCCGTGAAATTCTTGCGAATATTTAGAACGAATGTGCGCGGCGCTACGGCGAGAGCCACATGCTGAAACCGACCCGCCATCATTCTGTGACAGTATTGCAACTCTCTCTCTCTCTCTCTGTTCGGATGGTGTTCCCGTTTGTCCCCGTCCCTTGTGAACAACATAAACAAGAACCCCAGGGGAACAAAGCGATGGTGTTGTGATGCTAATGATGCTTCGTGATGAGGGGTAGCTACCAAGTGAGTGTGGTGGCGAGTGCGTGACGATTGATTGTGAGTGAGTGTTTGTGCGTGTGTGCGCGTGGGACTGGTGATGATGGTGTGAGTGGTCGATTGAATGGGTGAGTGTGTGACGGAGCAAGAGGAGAGGAGGTGAGGTGTGAGGTTATTGCGCGGGAGGGCGCGCAGAGAAAACAATAACTCCACGTTGATGTGGGACATAGAAGCCATCACGCATCAAATGAAGAGTATGTCCAACTTCACATTGCCTCCAATAGTGTTCACTTCATCGCTTGCCGAAGATAGCTGCAGTAAACTGTTCTTGCCGATGTTTGGGCGCAACCTTCTTACATTGTGCACACGCACACTCGTGTTCACGGTTTCGCTGTTCATTCCGAAGACGGAGATACATCATGACAACGATTACCAGGAGTCTGGGTCCGCTTGTTGTGGTCGTCCACTATATTCTTTCGATCGTCCATTGTACGGCGTTGCCCAGTCGGATGAAGTCCTTGATCTCCAGGGGGATTCCATAACTTTCGAGGCCAGGCCGTAAGCTTCTGTTGTTTATTAGTCTTCCCGCATGTCTCGCATCGCAACGAAGGGGGTTGGTTCTTATTCGGACCTTTGAGCGGCGCCAGAATATGATAACCTTGCTGTCGAGCTTCACGGTTGTGTAGAGTTCGCCTTTGCTCATGCATCAGTTCTTTCTCTTTTGAGCCCTTGGAGATCATGCGCTTCCTGTTCGGTCCATTGTACCGCCTCACGTGAAACTCATTGAAGACGAATGTTGTTCTCGCTTGGCGATTCCAGATCCACGGGCGGCAAATGCAGCACAGGCAACCAAGTCCGTAGGTTTGACATTGTCCCTGATGTTCGCCTTCAGCTTCGGTGGTGTCCAGATCGGTGTGGGCAACGAATTTGCGCGGCGCTACAGCGACAGCCACATGTTGAAAACGAGCCGCTCTCAATCCGTGAAACGCTTGCAAATCTTAAAAATGGATTGCGCGCGGCGCAAAGGCGAGAGCCACAGTTCGTCGAAACCTATCTGTCCTCAATCCGTGACACTCTTGCAAATGTTTTTAATCGAATGTGCGCGGCGTTAGGCGAGAGCAACCTTTTGAAAGCCACCCGCCCTCCATGTGTGAAATTGCTGTCAGTGTTAAAGTTCCAGGGTCATAAATAACGAGGAAGTCCCAGGCGAAACGCCCGGCCCGCCCCAAAAACGGGCCTCGGGGTGCGACGGGGAGACGTTATTCATGAGGAAAAGGAATGGAGGAGGGAGGAAGGAGGAGGGAGAGAAAGGCGGAGGCGGAGGAGGAGGCAGAGGACGA